CAATACATTTTTCCCTCAACCCAAAAGGCACCCTGCATATAGATTTTTTTGGCCAATATGTGCATCAGCAGGGCTCTGAAAACCTCTTGGGTAAGATGTTCATCAATATACAATAAACCTCAATTGAGAGCTGAACATGCAATAACCTAAATCCTCCACTGTTAAGGCTCTGAAGTGCACACACATGAACAAACACACGGACACATTGAGGCAAATGAGCGAAAATGTGTGACGTTCCAAACACATCTAAATGAAAACTTTCACTAACCTTTTTTGTTGACTTGAATTATTTAGTATAACTTTGAATCTAACACGTCAAGTTTACGTTTTTATTCCATAATATCTCATTATTCATGACAAACTGGAAGCACACATTGGCTCTGGTGTAATGGTGCATTGGGACATAATTGCGACCTTGCTACCCAGCGTGTTTATGTACCATATCCTGTGAAGGACACCTGTGTGGCAACTGCTCCTGTTTAACTAAAGGAAAAAGATGCCAGATGTAGCAGATGGATGCTAGAGTTGTAAACAGTGGAAAAGTAATAATGTTGTCAAGGTGAACATGAGAAGACACCAATTGTGGTGACTAGGAGTGTGCGAGCCAGACACAGTGATGGCGGGAGAGACAGTGCGGAGGCGGGACAGAGACAAAGGACAGACGCTGGTGACAGATGGAAAGACAGGAGATGATAGCAACAAACATGAGGATGTAGTAGAAAGAAAGAAAGAAAGAAAGAAAGAAAGAAAGAAAGAAAGAAAGAAAGAAAGAAAAGACTGTTCCAATCGGGTTCCTGAGCAGCTCAGTGTTTATGGCTGTGTATGTGTCAAGTCATTCTATCTGGCCACCTGCAGTCGCACAAACCTGTCCTCTATGTCTTCTTGACACTATGGTGACTGTGGTTACACACTCACATACAACCCCTTATGTACAACTGAAAAACTTTATAACTACAACAAAGGGCCTTAATGGCTTTATGGGTTGGTTTTATGATGTTCACTATTTATCCAAAAGTGTGTGGATGAGTTCTTTTGTTCTAGGGGTGTGCTCATCCAGTTATTTCCAATTAAGGTAAGTCTTAATGCTACAGTGGACAATACGCTTCCAACTTTGCTGCACCAGTTTAAGGAAGAGCCTTTCCCGCTTAAACATATCAATGCCCCTGCGCACAAAGTGAGGTCCATAAAGAATGGTTTTCCCAGTTTCCCCCCTGCTGTGTAGGTTGTTAACGCAGCATATTAAAGCCCATGGTTTTATAATGAAATATTCAACAATCAAATGTGGTTTTAATATTTGGCTGTCCACATACCTAACCAAACAACATTGTTTTCATTTCAACTAAAATAGCTTATGTACAGCATGTGAAAACAGTGTAATCACAATATTGACACCACCCATGACATAGATCATTAATCTTCCGGCCTCATTCAGCCGCCCACACACATACACACAAGTTGTAAGCCTGTGAGGTCCCGCTGCAGCGGTGGGCTAAGCATCATCAACGCAAATCTTAATTAGGGTCCCCGCCTTTGCTTCCCTCTCTATCTCATTGTCATTCTTCCTCTCCACTGGCTCATGACATTCTCTCCTCATCCTCATGAATATGTTAGGAACAGAAATGTAACTGGCCAACATGTTGGTTATATAACACTTCACTGCAGCTGTGGAAGAAATATTCACGTCCTTTATCTTAACAATACAAAAACGCTCCATTACAAGTTCAAGTTCTGCATTCAAAACTTTACTTCATATGACAAAATGTGCATTTACTCAGTAAATAAATTGAAAAAGTGGTTTTGCTGCTATAAGCTTATTTTGTCTGCTAACCACAGTAGCTTATGATGGCAGATGTTCACTAACATTAATGTTATTAGTGTGTAACGAACATTACTAAGTCAGTTTGCTGACTTTATTAGTGTTTTCTACCTGTGCTACAGTTGCACTGTTGTGGAGAATTTACCATTATCCTATAGTTGTCACTTGTGGTCACAGTGGCAGCTGGTTAGTAAAAGTTACAGTCTTGCTTTAAAGGGCAGAAATACTATTTAGGTCCATCGCTACTATTGGGAAATTAAAAACTGTTTCAAGGGGACTTGGACTCTATCCCTCACTATATCTGAAATCCTGGCTATTTGCCCTTATGCATGTCATCAAAGGATAGCTACATATATTATTTTTTATTATCCCACAACGCTGCTACTTATATGTGCTACTCAACAATGTATCAGCTGAATAAAAGGTCATGCTGTCCTTGTAGTCTGTGTATCAGCATATATAACAACACGCCTCTGCACTATGTCACCTAAAGATGCCCGTGTTCGACCTCATTCAAAGGGGAATGCGCTCCTTTTAACTCTGTGAACTCTGCAGGTTGGAGGCTGGGACAGACTGGGTGCTCACAGGGTTGGGCTCGTCTGCCTGCTCGAGCCCGTTTCTGCTGCAGTGCCATTTGAAAACACTCCAACCCTTCTGCAGTGCACTGGAGCCCAGAGCTGATGTTGAATGCCTCCCCTGTTCTTGCCCATCCCTCACGCACCCTGGTTCCGCCGTGTACATCACGCCACCGTAGGGCATCCAAAAGCACCTCGCGGCTCCGAGTGAACAGCACAACTGTGAAATATATTCATCTGAAATCCTGCAGCCAGCACGAGGGCCAGAACAGAGAGAGACATGGGGCAGTGGTCAAGGACACTAACGTCAGCAAGCGAAGAGACTATGGGTGTGGCTCCTGGAGTATTATCATTGACAATACATAGGGTATTAGTGCTTAAAATAGACAGGCACGCACACACAGGAGCAGAAAGTAATTCTGACCATCTCTCCCTCCCTCTCTCTCTCTCTCTGTCTGCCTTTCTGTCTCTGGAGCAATCTAAAATTGGCCGTGCTTGATGCATTAGCTCTGCTTGACTAAAGCTTGCAATGGAAAGCCAATGAGGGGGGGGCAAGGAAATGCAGACAGGTGATTTACGGCAAATGGCTAATTCGGTGTTGAAAAGCAGAGTTAAGTTTTCTGCTCACATTCTAGATCCATGACAAGCAGACTTTTAAAAGTGATAACCTGACATCAATTCTAAGACACATCTCTATTGGTTTATAGTTTTCATGCATGTATAGTTCAGACGCAGAGAAATGACTCAGGTTGCAGGACTTCACAATATGGCTGCAACTATAGATAAGTGCACTGATGATTTTGACAAAATTAAATACATTAAGTGATAGATCCTCAGAAAGCACTGATGCAGCCGTTTTTTGGTGCATTGCCTCCAATGATTGGTAATCGTTTTATATTGACCGGAGTGACCTGAGATTAGAGTGAAGCATCAAGACTGATAGGAGATCAATAGCCTGTCGGTGAGGCCGAGCCACCACACCGCCTCACTGTTCGGGGGAAATGTCTCAGCAAAAGGATGGATAACTCACAAATCTCACATAGCTTTGCACCACCTGCTATAGTGAAGATCCTACAGATATTCTAGCTGCAGAGATACTTTCCCAGAAGGAAAGTGTTTGTCTGTGTGATATGCAAATGTTAAAACTGGGGAGGGATGTACATGTTATTAAATATGCATGTATAAAACTGCAAATGTGTCCCCCATACAGGAGAATATATTTGAAAATGTCCCAGCTTTACAACAATCTGCAGGTGAGAACATCTATATTTACCCTTTTAATAGTTGGATGAACATTTGACCTTTCAGATTTCACTGATGTTAGCTACTACAACCCAAGCTCAACTAACCAGGTCCTGCCAATGTTCTTCTTGCTGGTACTTGTGGTGGACTTTTATGCACACAAGCCTGCTTAGCCCACATTGGCCACAACACTACAACAGTCCTCATCGACCTCAAAGGGGGGCCGCCACTAAAGCCTACCAGGGAAAACTCCACACTGGCTTACTCACATTTATCATCAACAATAACAAACCTTAAGTTGTTAATCCAAAGCAATACACTGAACGTGCATCGACTTAGGCTACCAAATTTAGGAGAGCTGCAAAACAAATTTAGAACAAATCAACAATTGTTAAATCTAGAAAGCACAATTTAAATGGGCACAAATGCCAGCAAATAAATTGTTTATTGTAAAGAACTAAATATTTCATAATGTGAGCTGTTTGAGTCAGTAACATCAAATGTGGGAGTGAGAACTGCTGTAAAGCATAGAAATAAACAGAAAGGCAGGGCTAAGCCTTTTATATCCCAGGAGCAATGGCCCCACACACACACACACACACACACACACACACACACACACACATCACATATTCACTTCTCTTTTTTCATTATGAATGCTAGAACACAAATGAGGAAATATATTAAACTGGCCTATTATTTTTCATATAACGTTATGTACTATTACTGTAACTCCTGCCACCACTACAACCCTACAAACACTTGGTTGCATTCATTAGACTCTGTCAGCAATATTTAACATATAGACACTGTCATGGTGTGGTTGTTCAAGTTCTTGTATTCACAACTCACTTCAATAAGCAGTGAACAAAAAACACTGCTGTAATTTTATCACAGAGTTTTTCAGCCGAGGAAACAAACTGACTGCTTTACTGCTGGTCGCTCTCCATGGTGCTGAAATTACAGCATCAATTCAGCAATGACTAGCCACTCATTTCTTTCTATCTATCTATCTATCTACCTACCTATCTATCTATCTATGTTTTTCAAATCGGACACCCACACAGCTCCTCCAGCCCACGTGGTTCAGAGTGAATGGGACCCTGGACCATTAGCAGACGGCCTGAGGGGGATGGCCCTCCCCTCCCTTCCATCAATGGATGAGAGAAAACTGCTTAGACTTGGCTTGTTAGCGACAGAGCCTCAGATATATAAGGAGCAGGCAGAGAAGGTTTCAGTCGCTGGCAGAGCCATACACACCTCACCTGCATAGACACATACACCCACATATACACTTGCCACACGCCTCCACCTTCTACAAGGTCCCCCTTCATTCCAGCTCACATCCCCTGCGGTAGTCTGACCGGATGAGTTACCCGGTGGACACGGTAGGGAGCCCCTTCCGGAGAGTTATGGATACTAGGACGACCGGCTACGGCTACAGCCGCTCCAGCGGCACCCCCTCCAGCGGCTTTCGCTCCCAGTCTTGGTCCCGAGCAAGCCCCGGCTCCACCATGACCACATCTTACAAGAGGAGCGTGAATATGCCGGTAACCCGAGCTTACAGCTCCACGGTGCTCAGCTCCGCCGACAGCGTTGATTATAATCAAACCTCCATCCTGAACGGAGACTACAAGCGATCTAATGAGAAAGAGCAACTTCAAGGGCTCAACGACAGGTTTGCTGTTTACATTGACAAGGTGCACTACCTGGAGCAGCAGAACAAGCAGATCGAGGCGGAGATCCAGGCACTGCGGCAGAAGCAGGTGTCGCGCTCCCAGCTGGGCGACCACTATGACCAGGAGCTGCAGGAGCTGCGCTCGATGCTGGAGCAAATCCACCATGACAAGGCGCAAATTCAGCTCGACACCGACCATATTGAGGAGGACATCCAGCGGCTCAGGGACCGCTTTGACGAAGAAGCTCGCATCCGGGAGGAGACAGAGGCCATTATCCGTGTCCTGAAGAAGGACATGGGCGACTCGGAGTTGGTGAAGTCAGAGTTGGAGAAGAAAGTTCAGTCGCTGCAGGATGAAATTGCCTTCATCCGCAACAACCACGAGGAAGAGGTGAGCGACCTCATCGCCCAGATTCAGGCTTCTCAGGTGACCATGGAGAGGAAAGACCTCCAGAAGACAGACATCACCGAGGCTCTCCGGGAGATCCGCTGCGAGCTGGAGGGTCACTCCAACCAGAACCTGCAGCAGGTGGAAAACTGGTTCATGTGTCGCTATGCCAAGCTCACCGAGGCAGCTGAACAGAACAAGGACGCCATAAAGTCCGCCCGTGATGAGATAGCCGATTACCGTCGCCAGCTGCAGTCCAAGACGGTGGAGTTGGAGTCTGTGCGCGGGACAAGAGACTCACTGGAGAGGCAGCTGAACGACATCGAGGACCGCCACAACAGCGACCTGGCCAGCCTGCAGGTGAGAAACAGCTCCGAGTACAGAGCTGAAAATAGACTACAGTTTGAATAGACTTTTAAATATTAATTTCATACTTTAACAGATGGTTTTTATGTGTGTTTAAAACTTAATAATCGGCACTTAATGATAATGGATAGATAAAGTAAATATGCTTAAAATTCAAATTTTCTATCATAGTGACGCAGTTTACATTAGAGGCACTATAAAAGATCCAACTTCCTTAATAACAGTAAAACGTCATATTTGTATTTCATGGTTGTTCAAACATTTTCTGCTGCACAATGATTCTACATTTCTCTTACAATCACTGAGCTCACTTTCTTTTCAAGCTTGAGAGATTTCCAAGTGTTAGGAAATAGTTAAAGGGAGTCACTGCAGCAGACTCCCTCTCCCTCTCCCCCTCTCTCACTCTCTCTGTCTTGCTGAGTCAGAGGCATGGGTCGATGCCTTCATTGGCTCTGCATCACATCACTGAGACTTTGGGGCGTGGGTGGGGGTGCATTGAACAAGTGTGGAGGCTGCCCTTGAAAAAAAGGCATTCAACATCTCCAGAGTACTGTATTGCGTCAGAATAAATTACAACAGCTCTCTGTGAACAGAGATTACACAGTTTGCAATAAAAGAGGGATAAATTAAAAGAAGCTGAGTTACACTGAAGCAAGGTCGATTAGAGAAAAAGGTTTTTTAAGTAAATCGTTGCTATGAGTCTCCACGCAGTGACTTTGAAAACTGCACAACTGTGCAGCTGTAAAAGGGAACGTAGCTTTGTCCTGCATGCAGTTTTCTTGTACCTAATCAACCTTGTGTTGTCTTTGCTCTGTGTTTCCTCAGGAGACAATTCACCAGCTGGATAATGAGCTCAAGAGCACCAAATGGGAGATGGCACGTCACCTTCGCGAGTACCAGGACCTCCTCAATGTCAAGATGGCCCTGGACATTGAGATTGCTGCATACAGGTACATAAAAGTAGTTTAGAATTAACATTTACATTAATTTTACAGAATGGCTTCTCTTCTCTATATCAAATGTGAGTTTTAAAAATATGGATACATTTATTGTCCCATCAGGAAACTCTTGGAGGGTGAGGAGACCCACTTCAGCACTTTCCCTTACCGCCAGACTGTCACCACCAAAATCTCTAAGCCTAAATTAGAAACTCCCAAACTTAAGGTGCAGCACAAGTTTGTGGAGGAGATCATCGAGGAGACCAGGGTAGAGGATGACAAGGCTGACATTGACGAGGCCTTGGCAGAGATAGCACAAGAGCTGTCTGCCACACTCGGAGAGGGAGGAGATGAGGAAGAGGAGGAGAAAGAGGGTGAAGAGGCAGAGGAAGCAGAGGGTGAGGGTGAAGAGGCAGAGGAAGAAGAAGGAGGAGAGGAGGAGGAAGTTGTAAGCGCCACTGAAGCCAAAGTAAGCTCTAGTGCACCCACTAAGGAGGAAGAGGAGGAAGAAGAAGAGGGAAAAGGAGGTGATGAAGAAGAAGAAGGAGAAGGAGAAGGTGGTGAGGAGGGAGAGAAGGAAGAAGAAGGTGAGGCTGAGGGAGAGGATGAGGGAGAAAAGGGGGATGATGCAGAGGGAGGTGATGAAGGAGAAGAGGGAGGAGAGGAGGAAGAGGAAGAGGAAGTTGAGGAGACAGCACTGTGCGCCAAAGCTCCAGAATCTAAAGCCTCTCCTGACAAAGAGAAGGCTGGAGACAAAGAGGGCAGTGGAGGAGAGGAGGAGGCAGAAGAGGAAGCCGATGCTGAAGAGGAAGGTGGTGATCAGGATGAAGATGCAGGCTCTGACAAAGCATCCAAAAGCGGAGATGAAAAAGAGGAAAAAGATGATGCAGACAAAAGCAAAAAGGAAGATGATAAGAAGGTAAAAGATGAGAAAGCAGATGACAAATCAGAAAAAGAGGTAGCCAAGATTGAGGCTCCGAAAACAGAAGCTGCAAAGCCTGAGGCCAAGAAGGAAGAGGCTGCCAAAACAGAGGTATCAAAACCTGAATCCCTAAAGCCTGCCTCCCCCAAGTCTGAATCACCTAAACCTGAGTCTCCTAAATCCGAATCTCCCAAACCTGCATCTCCTAAACCTGAGTCTCCTAAATCTGAATCTCCCAAGCCTGCATCTCCTAAACCTGAGTCCCCTAAATCTGAATCTCCCAAGCCTGCATCTCCTAAACCTGAGTCCCCTAAATCTGAATCTCCTAGGCCTGCATCTCCTAAACCTGAATCACCTAAATCTGAATCTCCCAGGCCTGCATCTCCTAAACCTGAATCCCCTAAATCTGAATCTCCCAGGCCTGCATCTCCTAAACCTGAATCCCCTAAATCTGAATCTCCCAGGCCTGCATCTCCTAAGTCTGAGTCTCCCAAGGAAGGCTCACCAAAGGCCGGATCTCCCAAACCTAGCTCCCCAAAAGCTGAGTCCCCAAAGTCGGAATCCCCGAAACCTGAATCTCCAAGAGCTGAATCCCCAAAACCTGAATCCCCAAAAGCTGAATCCCCAAAAGCTGAATCCCCCAAAGCTGAATCCCCCAAAGCTGAATCCCCAAAGGCCGAGACCGCCAAGCCTGATGCTCCTAAAGCAGCTGAGGAGAAATCAGAGAAAAAGAGTGACACAACAGAGGACAAGACGGTCGAAAAGAAAGATGTTGCCATGAATGGCGATATAGATAAGAGCAGCCCAGAAGAGAAAGACAAGAAGGATGAGGAGCAAGAAGTCGACATGATGGCTAACGGTGTTGATGAGAGCCCCGTGAAGGAAGATGGCAGCCAGAAAGTTGTAATCACCAAGACTGTGGAGACGATCACCACCGGAGAGGATGGATCCAAGCATGTCACCAAATCTGTCACTGTGACCGAGACAGTGAAGGAGGTGGAGGAGGTGCTGCAGGAGAAGATGGTCTCCACCAAGAAGACAGAGAAGCACTCCACCCAGTCCATCAAGCAGGTGACAGAGGGCGACTGAGGAGACTCCAGATGGCTGATCCAGCGGCCGAGGAGGTGTAGGAGGCAGGGGCCAGAGGAGGGGACATGAACACAAGCAATCAACCCAGAACTAACATAACAAAGAAAATCATACAGCTAGAGCGATGTAATAAAGATAACCACTCTCAAACATACAAAACAAATCATAGAGAGAAGCCAAAACTTAAATGCTACAAATTTCAAAAATGCATGTTGAGTGAAAGCTTTAAATGGGCTTCGCTGCAGCCGCGGTCAGGAGCAAGTGACTGAGACATTTTATCCTCTTATTTTTTCTTTCTGCAGTTCATGGGTGAGCTCTCGGGTGGGAGGGGGGTCTCTGCATGCTAGCTCAGGGGAGGGGAGTACTTTCCCCTCTTATCTGTATGTATGGTAGAAATACACTGTAAAAAGAGTAAATATATAAAAGGAATAAATGCGTTGTGGGTGGGAGAGCGAAAGAAATATTATTCAAGTTAAGAGGATTTTTGAGTTTAAGTAAAAGAGGGGGACAGACAGGAGGGAGGGTCCTCGATGTAGACACACGTTCTACTGAAGAAGCCTTACTTGACACATGAAGATACCAACTGAGCCAAAAAAGAAATAAATACACGACATATAGTGAAGAAAGACACAGGCAGTGATATGATAAACACATGACCATATACAGTACATCCAGTAACTGAAGCAAACTAAAGCTTAACAAACTGAAGAAACTCTTAGCCTTAAACATGCTTTTTATCAGTGTCTGTTATGTTTACCTGAGTGCAACTAAAAAAAAACTGTAAATGCGCAGATACATGCATTCTTGTATGCATAGGATGGACTTGAATTTAAATACAGAAATAAATGAGGTGCTACTGTTTGCAATCCCATGACTTTACTCATCATGAACAATTTCCCAGCAGCATTTGCTCAATAAATGTCAATGAATAAAAAAAGTCTTGTGTCTTGTCATGTTATATTATTCTACTATGCTTTACAATTGTATGCATCTACTATTCCAAGTTGTTGCTTGTAGGTAGACGTACTGCAATTTATCAGCAAAGAGCTTTACAATAAATGCCTGACTATGAAATGAGCAGCTTTAAGATATAATGATATCTTATGTAAGATTTATATGGTCACCTATTTTAACTAACAGGCTACTCATTAAATAAGTAAGATTACTGATATGACTCTGGAGACAGCTAATGAGTATTAAATGATATAATATCAAATAAATACATAATACTTGTAACAATAAAGAGTTTCCACAGATGACCTTCATATATAATTTTCAATTTCACAGTTAAACAGAGAAAGTTCTAGTGGTCACATAATTGTATGTTTCCTCAGATTTTGGAGTACTTATATTAAAAAGTAGCTCAATATCTGACAATCTTGCCATTAATGTTAATTGTAAAACTAAAGTTATCAACCAAGGAATCTAATTCTATCTAATCAAATTAAGAATGTTTTTGTATTTCATTTAATTAAATACCATTAATCATTTTAATTAAATTTTTAGTGGATATTTAATTTTGGAGAAACCGGTGTTATAAGATCTGTTTATGCTGAAAGGATGGAAAAAAATTATTTCTCTTCTTATCTGTTCATATATTGCTGAAAGATATTTCCTTCAGCCTTAGATCCGATTGATGAGCTACTGAACTAGTTTGCCAAGATGTTTTAAATACATGGCTTGTTTTGTTCTTGTTTTTTTTATGTCAGTAGCAACATAAAGCTGGAGAATGATGATCACTGAGAGGCAGGCTGAAAATAAATTGCACTACATAAAAAAGATTTTTAATATCAGTTTTTCAAACCCATCTCCAGGGCTCTATGATCCCTACTATAATGTCTACTCAAGAGAATAAAATAATGGAGCCACTGCTGGGTGATACCAGGTGTCGGTGGCTAATGTTTGTGTGTAGATGGCTTTTTATCACATTAGGGAGGATTATAGATGTAGTACTGTTGAAACAGAAGGTAAACTGTCTCTCACTCAAAGCTGATTGAAAAAAAGAGATATAGCTTAACTAATTTCAGTGGGTTCCAATCTTTATATTTTACTTGTTAATGAAATAACATAATATATAATGATGAATATATAATGGAAAACAGACCACACTTTCATATGATTTATCATCATAATTTCTCTTAATTTGTAAGAACATGTAAGTATAATAAATAATGGCATACATCACTGTGCCTTACCCTGATAATTGTCATTTTGTTTAGATACATTAACAATTGAAAAATGTGTTGTTTTTATGGTAGTTTGGCCTCTTGACACTGACTGGTTTATGTTCGTGTAGTTCCTCTTAGGACTGTCCTGGTCTGTCCTTCATGTTACTTTCAGTGAAAGTATACTATGTTATTTCTGAAAGAAGAAAATCCCAATCTTTCTCTCCAAAATGAAGAGTTAAATTCATGAGCAGTAAACAATTCTTAGAGTCTATGCTTCTGTCTAGTATGAGTAGTAGCTTATGGTGGCTAATGTTTACAAATATCAGCAAACTTAAGATAAAATCTTGCTGTGTAGTCTAACTGACGCTGTTGAGTCATTTAACTTACTTCTTGACTCGTCTCTACTGTTACACTGTGCTTAAACATTTGCTAGTGACATAATCATATCATTTCCACTTGTAGCCATGGAGGCCGCTCTTTAACGAAAGTTACGCATGTTCGCCTTAATATGAGAAACGAGTAAAGTTTAATAGGGAACCCCAACAATTTTACACCTGAGGAGAACTAGTTAGCCTACTGCTCATGCTAAAAACATTGGCTCCAGGGGGAACTGCGTGTAGTCTGATAAACGGCTGGAGCTGAGGACATGTCTGTAATTAACAACAACTGGGGGTGTGGAGTTTGAAAGAAGTGACCTTACCTGCCCTCTGTTTGAAGCTAGAGGCTGGAGACAGCTACATTAGCACTACACACCTGAATCTCTGACCAAACCGTCCACTATCGATTGCATTGTGGGTAATGTAGGCGCCTGGTTTTGATAAGGAAGCGGAATCCATGAACTAATACAGGATATAACAATTCCTTTGCACTAATTTTGATACTCATTATCTGACAACGTTAAAAGGGGTACAATGCTAAATCCGTGGATATTATAACGTTTGCTGCACAACAGCGCCCCCTATAGCCATTAGCTGAAATGACTGAATAATGACGCTATATTTCCCTTTATTCTCCACGATTCCTCGAGTCAGTTATTTTAAAACATATTACATATGTTTTGTTTTATACCAAGTGATTAAGAAATAATTGTTGGTTATTTGTTGATACATTAGTGTTGTAATTGTTAATTTATATATTCCTGATCCTGTACGAGTTCTTCTGTGTTCATTATGGTCGTTTCATGGACATACATCTATGGGTTGTTTTAAAACGTCCCTGAGAAGCAGGAAACAACAAACATATCTCCTAGTAGGTACAATGTGTTTAATTCGTGTTTTATTTTTGTGATAAAACCATTGTGACATGCTAAAATGTAGTTTAACAATATCACGAATAGATAAGGTCCATAATTACACAGCAAAATTAACTTAAGTTTGCCAACAATAGAAAGCAAGCATTGTCCAGCATAAGCTATGGGATATACCAGAGTAAGTAAGGTTGTAACACAGCCCTCTAGTGTATTAAATGAAATAAAAGTGGATTTTATTGCTTATGAATTCTGTTTTTCATTTGTAGGAGAGATATTCTGTTATTCCTTCTTTTCAAAGGTACATAGTCTCACTTCAGCAGACCCTTTGTAATAGGCTGTATAATAAGTAATGGGATAGCAGTATATCTGACAGGTAATGGTGTGACAGGACTGTCTCACTGTTTTGTAATGCCAGAAGTAATTGAGACATCTCAAACTCCACTGCTGAGGTCAGTGTAGAACATTAGATTTCCCAGGACTTGCAAGTTCTCATAAAAGCTACACTGTAACACCGTGTACTTTAAATCAAGACTTGTCTATGCTTCACCATACTCAAAATCAAGGACACATATGGCTTTAAGAATTGTTTATTCAACCACCAGAGAGTCACACACTCATTTTTGCCTTCAGCAATTACACACTGTATTACACTCTCACATTAGGAAGTGTGCAAGCAGACCTTTATGGACTACTTTTGATATTGGCAAGCAGTTAACCTTGATTTGTTGCTGTAAATGGCTATTAGACTGTTTTCTTGAGCACCATGTTAACAAGCAGATTTGAGAGGATAGCGCTGATGCCTCTACTGGTTATCGAGCTGTGGTCTGTATGTGGACAGTCTTGATTGAAGTTTGCTGAGGCTGCTGGCTTACTTCTTATCCTTTGTGCTCTTTTGTTCTGCAGCTTCAGGTTTGGCCACTTTTTCTTCATCCTTCTCCTTTTTGGCGTCAGCTTTGTCATCTGTTTTTGGAGCAGCTTTGTCATCTTTGTCGTCTGCTTTGTCTTCTTTCTTGGCATCAACTTTCTCTTCTTTCTCTTCACTCTTTTTTGCTTCTTCCTTCTCTTCTTTTTCTTCTTCTTTTGCCTCCTCTTCTTTGTCATCAGCTCCTTCTGTTTTTTCCTCCTCTTGTGCTTCTTGTTTGACTTCAGTCTCCTCTTCTTCTCCTTTGTCCTCTTCCTCCTCCTTATCTTCAGCAGCCTCTGTCACCTCTTCCTTTTGCTCCTCGTCATCACCACCTGTATCAATAGATTAGTTTTGTTAATTGTCATCAAGACCTTACTAATTAACGTTTATTTGAGCAATTAAAGTGAATTACAAAAAAGATGCACTAACCCTCCTCTTCCCCCTTGGCCTCTTCATCTCCCTCCTTAGCTTCCTCCTCATCTTCTTTCTCTTTATCTCCCTCCTCCTCTCCTCCTTCTTCCTCTTCCTTCTCCACTTCCTCTTCCTCCTTTTTCTCCTCCGTCTCCTCTCCTCCCTCTTCTTCCTTCTCTGCCTCCTCTTCCTCCTTTACCTCCTCCTCTTCTTCCTCTGCTGCCTCCTCCTCTTCCGCGGGTGGGCTGGCCTCTGCTTGCCGGGCGTGACTAGCAGAGATGATTCCCTCGGTGGTGCTGACGCTGGAGCTGAGCAGGCGTGATGTCATCAGGTAGGAGGCGCCAGAGCTCAGGCTGGAGAGGACGGGCCTTGCGTAGGAGGGCGCTGACAAACTGTGGCTGTACAACGAGGACACTCCCCCAGCCATTCCAACGCTGAAGCGAGACTCCTCCCCTTCCAGCAGCTTCCTGCACAGGTTGGTGAAAAGACAGGTGATGAGCAGTACAATAGAAAGGAAGTACAGTTTTTAAATTTGTTAGTTAGTGGCCATTTATTTACACTTCACACTGAATAGGGTTTTATCTCAGAATGTGTTTACCAAAATAAAAGTGGCCTGGACTTTTTGACTTTTCTATTCTAATGTGAGAACCTAAACATCAACATAAATCATTAATACATTTAGTTTTGCTATACATTGTGCCAATCAAATCACATAAAAAGTAATGATAACAAATACTAGCTTTGTTTGAAACTGCTAATGCAATCCTTTACTTAAATGATAAATATCTTTACCTTAAATGACCTCATGAATAACTTCTAAATCTATCTAAAATTCATGCTTCCTCATAATAAGGGATTTGTGCACTACTTTAACGCAATAAAATTAACACTAATAAGACCTCTTTGATGCCTCTGATTCTTTGATTTTTAGAAACCCAGCCGGATTTCTGATCCCAGTGCAGTTGCTTCTCACCTGTATGCAGCAATCTCGATGTCGAGCGCCATCTTGACATTCAGAAGGTCCTGGTACTCCTTCAAGTAGCGTGCCATTTCCTGTTTGGTGCCCCTCAGATCACCCTCCAACTCTCCAATGGTGTCCTAAATAAAAGATAAGACACAAGGACTTACATATATATGTATCCTAAAAAATCAAATACACATCTTAGTAGAATACACCTGCAACACCACTGCTTACCTGCATAACAGCTATCTCAGCACTCTGCTTCTCCTCCATCTCATGCAGCTGTTTCTCCAGGGACTCATTGAGGCCTCTGCATGCATCAATCTCCAGCAGGCGGGCCTGGAGCTGGCGTCGGTACTCTCCTGCTTCGTCCTTGGAGTTTCTCACGGCATCACTGTGCTGGGCCACAGTTTCAGTAAGGGAGCCCACCTTTCCTCTGAACCACTCCTCAGCTGCCTGCATGTTCCTTGCTGCCAGCCTCTCATACTGGGACCGGATATCCCTGAGAGCCCCAGAGAGATCCGGAGTGGCGGCCTCAGACTCTACAGCCATCTGGACGCCTAGCTGGACTTGGGCCTGAAGCTCGGCCACCTCACCTTCATGAATCCTCTTGAGGAAGGCCAGCTCCTCCAGCAGAGTTTCAACACTCTTCTCCAGCTCAGCCTTAGCTAAGGCAGCCTGGTCGGCCTCACGACGGGTCTCCATCAGCCTACCCTCGGCCTCTTCACGAGCCAGCACCTCCTCCTCATATCGACCCTGCAAGGCGCTCAAGGTTTGTTCCAGTCGATCTCTCTGGCCCAGGACAGCCTGTTGCTCTGCCCTGGCCTCGTCCATAGCTGCTCTCAGGGAGCGGGCCTCTTGCTCATACAGTGCTCTCAGACGAGACGGCTCAGAGTGCCTCTGCCTCAGCAGCAGCAGCTCTGCCTCCAGAGCACGGTTCTGCTGTTCCAGCTCACGCACTCTCTCAATGAACCCAGCAAAGCGGTCGTTGAGATCCTGCAGTTGGCTGCGCTCTTGGGTGCGTACGGCACGAAAGTCAGAGCTGATCTGGGCCGCCTGGCTGAGCTCCAGTTCCAGGGAAGAGGCTGGTGAGGAGGAGGAGAGCAGCACTCGGCCGGGAGAAGAGTACTGCAGACGAGAGGAGGACATTGGGGAGGCATGGGAAGAGTAGATGGAGTGGGTTCTCCCTCTGGTAACCACACGAGGGGGAGCCTCGACATACCAGCGTCTATATGACGAGGTGGAATAGTAAGGGTCATATCCGATGCTACTCATGGCTGAGTGGTGGGAGGACTGGCTGCTCTCCCTCCCCTCTGTGTGTGTGTGTATGTGTGTGTGTGTGTGCGTGTGGAGGTGTACGAAGGGCTCAGGTTTAAGCCTCGACTGCTTGCTGCTGCAGCAGCCTGGGCTTTTATAGTAGGACAGTGAGCTCTGACGCAAGCGCTTTCCCCAAACTCTGACAATGCAGGCTCGATAGGCTTACACTGCAACAGCAAGAAATGAGACAGAGGATCCATGGGAATGAGTGTCGGAGGAAAATAAGCAATGGTTAAAGATGGAGAGAACAAAAGACAGGAGGGAATAAGTGGAAAAATTACATGTTATAAAGTTATAAAGCTACATGCTCCTGTTTATCTTGTCCTGACTTAGGCATTGACAGTAATGTTCAACGGAGCTGAGTTTCTACATGATATGGATTTATAAAACAGATTTATCACAGTTTACTGAACAAAAACATAAATGCATACAAAACAATAAATAAAGCACATCACCAGTTTTAACGTCGAACCCGAAACCTTGACCTTGACCTGACCTTAACCACTGCAGTACTTCAAATAGATTCTGATGCAGTTTGTTAGGAGATCCATATATTATGTAGAGCGAAAACATGACTAAAACATGCTTGTTGTGCTATCCCCACTGCAGGAGAGACAGAGGGGTGGGGGTGGGGGGGGTTGTCCTGATTTTTACAACCGTGACACAGCATCTCTCCTTCTGGTGGAGAGCAGAACTACAATCATGACCTCAAAAGACCTGCAATGATAAAATCCCACCCAAACAGAAGGTGACATGTTATAGTAAACAGTACAGGCAAACCAGTGTAACTGAAATTGAAATTATTACAATTACTAGAAATATCATAAATGAATTGTTTTAATTTCTTGGTCCATCACTAAGTTCTGCTGTTAAACTTGCAGCCTCTGTTTGAAGTTTTCTTTTGTTAATAATGTTATACACTTTCAGCTTTGTATTTTCTTTTTCTGACCTTGTGGAAAACTAAACCTAACCTTAATTCACCAATATAGGTAGAGACAAAAGTCCTGGTCTCTACATGCCTCTGTCTGTGCCAATGTCACAAGAAATTTACAATATTTAATAAATACTGGTATATAATGTGATCGTTGTGATTTGACATGGGAAAGCTCAAGCGTTATAATTACTTTTCAAAGCATGAACAGTTCATATTACACCTTTCTTCAAAAAAGAGATCATCTTAATTTATGGAAAGAAAGTGGAAGAAAAGCAATTGGTTTTTGTCAGGTTGTTCTTCTAATTCTATAAAAGACAAACAGTCCCTCTCATCTGCAGCACAGTTACCCCAGCAGGTCAGTTTCACACAGTTGCTGACATGTATTTTCTTCTCTTGTGTGACTGGTGGGAGTGTGTGTGTATATCTGTGCAGGTACAGTATGCAGAGGCTCAGTGAAGTTTACGTTGGGTGGTTCATCTTGCTTTTGAGCTCCGTGAATAAATGAAGTGTATTGCAGTGCTTTGCAGCAATATCTCTGTGTGTGTGTGTGTGTGTGTGTGTGTGTATGCATGACCCGATCCAGTAATTTGCCTATGCAGCAAAGGCCCCCACTACTTACAGACGATGCTGTGCCCAGAACAGAAGTGAGGCAGGCAGTGGGAGGTGGGGAACTTCAGTAGGAGCTGCATGGACTCTGCTGCAGGCTGAGTCATCGTAACAGTGGTGATCACCCAATCTCCCCTGTGTACACTTTTTCCCACCCTAACAGCAGTCTGACAATCTGCACCGGGGCGATTTTTGGCAGACAAGTTGCTTACAGGACCTGGGGAAATGAAATGGAAAGCAGACTATTAGTTTCTTTTCCCAAACAAATTAATTCACTTAAAGTGCTAATTTCTGTTGTTGCCCATTTTCTCTCTGAAGTTAACATAAAAGCTCATCCTAAGTATCAAATAATTACTGTTAGCATTTCTGGTAACTTCTAGTAGCAAGAAACTGATGAAAGCATCACACACTCAAGAAAAACAGCAACTTTGCAATATAGGACAACCATCTTCCAAAATTAATAGAAAATGAACAGTTGTTCTCTTGTTGATGATAGTGGTGAGGTTAAATATGTTTATGCTTTATTATGAAAAGTATTTATCAACTTTGTAACGATGCATTATTCCACTTTTGGGACTAGAGGGCAGAAAAAAAACACTAAAACAGATACAGATAAACAACCATCACCAGACACAGAGCAAAATTAGTAGTGACTGTGACTGGTGTTTCTGGGCATTTGGTGACTGCTAGTTCAATATTCGCTTATTCAAGCTTTGCTTTGGCCTCTGCTGGCACAGCTCTTAAGCTGCTACATGTTTGACTATAGTATGTTCCCCTGCCACTGTGTAACTTTGGCTGTACATACAATACAGGGAATGTGCCACAAAACCAACGCAATGATCTAAAGCAGGCTGGCAATTAGTTAGTTAGTAGCATTGTTAGTTCATACTTTGCACAATACAATAACCCATCCCCTTTTCATGATCATATGACACAGGTTGACATCAGGCCTGGAGTTCCATTAATATTTGTGGACTATTTATTGTATTGGTACTATATACAATTTTATATTTATGGATCATAACTTGAATTGAAGAGGCAATAGACTTTGACTTTGCTTGACAGCTCAGCTTTGACTCTGTGGCTTAGTTTCCAAGCTTTGTCAGCACTTTCATCTCTGTCCTTTAAGTTTCAGTGCACTTCTGCTTCCCCACATCACATTTCATGAAGGATACTGCGCAATATTTGGCTTATATGTCTCGGAGGGATATAATATTTCCAGTAGGATGGAACACTAGACATTTCTGAAAGCAAGACTCACAATAACTTGAATTATTATGTATAATAATATGCTGTAGTGATATTGAGACGGGGCACTTTGATCTTTGCAGTTAGCTACATGCCTGCACCTCATATACAACTGCTAAGATTAATAACATGGTACAGTGTGTACCATGCATCAAACATTAACTTACTAAAACCTCAGGATTTATTTCTCAGGTGTTTTATCTCATAAAAAAGTCTGACAGTTTGAGATATATTGCCATGGTTTGCTCAGTCTTACTGAATACAGACTGAAATGTTGCATGGTGCATTTAAAACTTATTTGTGTAACTGGTACTAGAGCAACTCCTAGAGGTGATGGACAGAAATAACACTTTACAAATTCCTCCATATGTTTTATTTTAAAGATAACAGGGAGATTTTATGATGATTTGATAAGATATGATGATTGTTTTTTCAGGTTGGAACAGGTTGGGCCTTTATGAAACCAGGATGTAGTTATAGATCTCCAGCTGAGGAATATGTTCTTTAACATTTCTTTTCTCCTTTTTTTCTGTTTCTCCAGATTTACTCCAGTTCTTGATTTTACTGAAATTGTATTAACAATGATTGTTGTTGGTAGTGGTAATAGCAGTAGCAGAAGTAGCAGCAGCTGTGGTTATAGCTGCTGTTGCTGGCAGCTTTAAGTACAGTAAGAGAAAGCAGATGAGGGCTATACGCAGCTGTTAATTCAGCTGTGCTTTGGCAACATGTTGCCCGTGGATTTTTCCCCTCCCACTGTTGTAAAACTGAGTGGACCTGTAGGGACAATGGCTTTGTTATTCCGCATAACAACTTTCCCGTGAACATTGTTAATATTTACTGAAAACATGACCTCTTTACAGTGTAATGAGCTGCAGTTTCTCTCTCAGTGCTGAAACTGCTCAACTGAGAGCGAGGTGCCTTTTTACAGCCAACTCTGATCTTTACACTTTTGTTCGACTGATCTCAGTTTAAAAGTCATGTTGCTATTTTTGCTTAATATCTGACCTCTGGCCTTCCCAGCCACCGGCCCACCAGAGGTCTGGTTCTATTGGCTGTTTCTGTATGTCCATCAGTGTGTCAATGCCTCTCACAGGCGGAAAGTAAAGGAGGCCTGTCTGCTATGCACTGCCACTATCCAGGCTACTATAAAAAGAGTGTGGTATGCTGGCCTGGGCTCACTGTTGTCAGCCAGTGTGTGTGCACAGCTTAGAAGGGCTGAGGGTACTGTGTTTGGTTTAAGGTAAACCCCAGAGAAACACTGCAAGCATGGCTGCCGCGCATCGTTTGGTTATTGTGCGCCACGGTGAAAGCGCCTGGAACCAAGAGAACCGCTTCTGCGGCTGGTTCGATGCTGACCTCAGTGAGAAGGGTCTGGAGGAGGCTAAGCGTGGAGCCAAGGCCATCAAGGAAGCAGGCATGAAGTTTGATGTGTGCTACACCTCCGTGCTGAAGCGTGCCGTCAAGACCCTGTGGACCATCATGGAGGGCACAGACCAGATGTGGCTCCCTGTGATCCGCACCTGGCGCCTGAACGAGCGCCACTACGGAGGCCTCACTGGTCTCAACAAGGCCGAGACAGCTGAGAAGCACGGTGAGGAGCAGGTGAAGATCTGGCGCCGTTCCTTTGACATCCCACCTCCCCCCATGGACAAGGACCATCCTTACCACAAAATCATCAGTGAGGTGAGAAAAACTACAGGAAAAGACTCATTTAGAGGAAGCAATACATTAATAGGATTTTTCTTACTAATTAATCATCATCTAAAGAGCAGTTCCAACCAATTAAAACTAATCAAATAAATACTATAAAGCAGCTATTGGCATAAATTCATTTTGAAGAGCACCAACCTTTACTCAGCAGTCTTATCACTTAGTTATATAACTTCTGTCAATTGTTGTGGGAGTAAACTAACTTCTGCTGTTCTTACTACCTCCAGTCCCGGCGCTACAAGGGCCTGAAGGCCGGTGAGCTGCCCACATGTGAGTCACTGAAGGACACCATTGCCCGTGCCCTGCCTTTCTGGAACGACGTGATTGCTCCTGAAATCAAAGCTGGAAAGAACGTTATCATCGCTGCCCACGGCAACAGCCTCCGTGGCATCGTCAAGCACTTAGAGGGTGAGCATTGCAGTCAGCAGGTGGATAGAAAAAGACAATGAAGAAGAAAATGCTGCAGTGATAGGTAGATGTGGATGTTGGCAGCAAGTCAGAAATCACAAAAATGCACTATTATATTAACCAAAGATTTTTTTGCATTTGCATTTGCATTTGCATACAAGACCAAGACTTAGATAATCAGTCAGACACATACACATACACACACACACATACACACAGTTGTGGATTACAGTGTTTAAAAATAGCATGCAGGGACTCTCACACTACAGCTCAGGGACAGGGGAGAGGGTCATGAGCCTGGTTCCCATTACAGTCACGACCTTTATGTAGAAAGGTTGTACTTTTTCAAGGAGTGTCCAGACATGGATAAGGTAGTTTAAGGTAGTTACACAGCCAGAGCGCCTCAAGGTCAAAAGTAAATGTCAGACAGGAATGGTAGATGTCAGGGCTAAGGATGAGAGACAGAAGTAGATCAAGTTTCTTATATGTTACAAATTGCTGTAACCAAAATAACTTAGAATACGATCAGATAGAAAGAGAACCTGCCCTGCTGAAAGCCTTCATTATGTAAGACCAGTGTCCTTCCTGTATGCCAAGCTGGGCTCCAGACAGACACTTTTATATTGTATCAATTACATTCCCTCTGTTCCGTCTGCTGATCTGCATGTCTACCCGTCTGGTTTATCTGCCTGTCTCTCTAGGTATGTCTGATGCAGCCATCATGGAGCTGAACCTGCCCACAGGAATCCCAATTGTGTATGAGCTTGATGCACACCTGAAGCCCATTAAGCCCATGGCTTTCCTTGGTGATGAAGAAACCGTAAAGAAGGCCATGGAGGCTGTGGCTGCCCAGGGCAAAGCCAAGAAGTAAACCTGCTCTGGAGGCTCCATGAGGAGGCAGAAAAAGAGACTGTTCCCCCTTTGTCCTTCAACCTTTCGTCCTACCCATTTATCCACCTTTGTAGTCCATTCCAACTGGGGAAATCTTTAATGGTTCTTTTGGAGTCGGGCCATTTTCAGCACATTAGCCCTGTTTGTTTAAATGACAGACAGAGGGATGACCTGTCAATTCAAACAGACAGCCTGGCCTCATATTTTATGCAGCCATACATCACTCAGCCCTTTTAAATTGTGATCAGGCCCTATTTTGAGGGCCCCACCACCCTGGCACAACCAATAAAGAAACCATATTTTTATGTAGGCCTGTGTCTAATTTTTCTCCTTATCGTCTCTTTTCCCCATTTCTTTGTTAAAATTACATTGTCATCCTTGTTTCTTACTCCAATTCTTCTTCTTCGGTTTCCCATTCGGAAATCAGTGGTTTCAGCAAAATCCAAAGGTGCTGTGAAATCTTATCTAGGAGGTAGAGAGAGAGCGGGAGGAGGAGGGGAGAGAGAGAGCGACAGCGAGAGAGAGAGAGATACAAAGTCTGAGAGATAAGTCAGTGGGTTCATCTGGCAGCATTCCCATGATGCAGGAAAAGGCTTGTCTGAGTTTTTTCCCATAGATCAGATTGAGAATAGTGTGCAGGATAATAATGAATACATACAGTATTGTATACTTCAATACAAATGGTATTTTCCCAGCTATGTTTGGCTCTACTTGTCCCCTTAGAGAAAGCATCACTGCAAATCAATACCAATTATTCTGAGTAATTAGCTCTATTCCATGAAGAAGCATTTCTGTCCTGTCAGGTGTGATCTCTATGCCCCTTCTACAGGACATTGGGGGTCACTGAATGGGTTGGTGAGCACGGAAAGGATGCATTTCATTTGCTAGGATATTTCCATTCACCAGATCTCATCCCAAATGGAGACGTGGATCCCTTTAATAGATTTTCAGGCTTAAAAATGGAGATCTGATTTAGTGGTCTAACACCTTTTTTTAGACACTTTATGTTGGTTTTTCCTTTTATTTGCCATGTGTATGTATATTAATGTGAAAGACATTTTAGCCCTGCATTCCTTGTACTTGAAGGAGTCAGGTGCTTCAGATGTCCTTGCAAGCATATTGTTTTCTTCTAGACATTTAGGTAATTATTTTCAGGTGTTACCCCACAACTTATAGAAACAAAGTTAGACACACAACAAGACAAGACTAATGGTCACGCTAACTGATCTGTGAGGCTGTACTTTGGCAAAGCAGTGTCTTGAACTAAATGATAATGTGTTTACAATGACAGTGTTAGAATACTGATATTTAAAATGCTAATATTAACTATTAGCACAAAACAAAAAGTACAGCTGGGACGAATGGGAATGTGATTTGTCCTACGTATTGGACAAATTAAAATTTTAACCTGATGATGTAGCTAAATAAAAAGTTGTTTAAAAAGAAAAAAAAAATACCTAGAACAAATATTTCACAGCTAAAAAGCTTTTACACAGGTCTCTGATGACTGATTCAGGTATGTGTAGTCACTGCAATCCTCTCTTACCCTCCTTTGACTTTAGAATTGAAACATCAGTAACAAACGGACAAATTTACCACACACAGTTGATTTAATTTAGGATTGTTGTAGTCTTCAAGTCTATCACCACAACTGAATTTAGTATCGGACAACATGATATTACATTGAATTAGTAACACCAGCAGGACTGCAGAGAAAAAGTAAGTGGTCATGATTGAGATTTGCATCTAATGCTGTCATGCCACCTACTGGCCACTAAGAGGAACACCAGCTGAGTGAGTGTATGAAAAGATTCTTTTCACCAGTTTAATTATTGCAATGGAAATGTCTGATGGCAAGTATTGGGAGTCTGTAAACATTAACAAAGAAGTTAAAATTGTGTTGTTTTGTGTCAGTATCATAGTGTCCTCTGCATTTGTCCTTTAAAGCAGTCCACAGGTAGTGCTCCCAAACTGGCTTGCAAGGGTTGTCCACAGCCTTGGCTCTTTCATTTGACAGGTCATTATTACAGCAGTTCAAATTCAAAGTCACGATTAAAGTTAAAAATAACAGCTTCCTCATTATCCCTTAGAAAGAAGGCATCTGAGGTGGCAGACTGGCAATGTACTGTAATCAGATGAAGTGTCTTCCATCGTGTGCAGGCTTTGATGTTGAGCAGGATGTTTGGTGCAGTCAATGTTCAAACAGGTTCAGGAGCTCAGTCATGGTTTAAGTCTGAGGTGTTTTGATCAGTAGCAGTTACAGCAGCAGTTTGCTTCTTGAAGAGTTTGAAGAAGCTTGGCAGAGATGCTATCTTGTATGGATTTTTCTTGTACGTGACTGCTTTCTTGGTTTCTGCTTTGGACTCAAATACATACTCTGCAGCGCTCGTCACATTCTTTTCTATGTTATTGATCAGCTCCCCCTGAAAGAAGAAAAACATAACTGACAGTCAGATTATGGTCTCATGACTTAAGTATATTCTTTTATGTCCATTATCATAAAAAAATGGATGCAAATGAGGCAGCTATCTTACCTGTATCTCCAATAGCATGGCAGTGTAAGTCAATATCTCATGCAGCTCTTTGATGCTGGACTCAAGGCAGATGATATCCTGATGACGAGATTCAATCTCACTTAGAGACTCACTTGAAATCCGACCATCAGAGCTGATCTTGAAGAAAAATCCAAGCTTAACATTACATTCTATATGTATGTAATAATAATAATAATTATTATAATAATATTAATAATAATAATAATCATAATAACAACAACAACAATAGGCTTCACCTGGTTGTTAAAACACATCATGGTAACACACAAACAATAGATACAAGAATAAACACCCCAATATCTAAGTGATCAATAACAAAAACAAAACTACAGTAGGTACTACCAACTATTGCACAGACATTTTTTTGTGAAAAAGAACTTAATGAAATTCCACCAACATCAGATATGAAGATGGCAAGATTGTCACGGAGCAGCATCTCCTCCAACTCTTTATCTGTTATCACTTTATCCACTGAAACAGACATAAAAGTTGAGTTCAAAGAGATTTTCAGCCAAATGTGCATGGTGTACAGGTGAGCTGAACAGTCACCTCAGAAACAAGTGTGCTTATAAACAGAAAAAATATATGGTGACTCTTAGTGACATTTTCACTGACAGACATCACTAATGACAGCCCAAATCTCTTGTGTGTTGTTTTCATAAATGTGCGCTGCCAAGGGACAATCACAAAATAACATGCATTTTAACTGCTTGCCACATGATGGCGTAATCACGCTTCTTTACTGCCATGCCACTTTCCCCAAACCAAAATCAGTTAGGAATACTGTTGGTGTAAACCACAATCTGTGTGTAATCTGAAGGTAAGATACTGCCTTGATCTATTTATGTGAATCAAATGACTGAAGAAAAGCAATACTTGGAGTGCAGAAAACAGCTCTTCATGAAAGGATCTAGAGCTCATTTACTGAACAGACGGGACCTTTTCAGAGGGACACATGAACATGGTGTAACAGCTGTGTATCTCCTCTGAATTTAAATTATTGTTTTAAAATGACCTGCACTGTTTTAAATGTAGCAGACGGACTCTAGGAAAAGGAAAACTATACAAATTCTAAACATACTTTTTTTTTTTTAAATACACTGCATGTTGGCTATAATCTTAAATCTAACAAGTGGGTGTAGGAGTAGACTATGAAAAAAAATCCTAATCCTAAAAAAATAAAACACTGATGGGGAAAGAGTAATTAAAAAGGTAGATGCTGTAGTTGAATTCAATGCTAAGTTTCTCACTCGTACTAATTATCTAATTGCGAAGAGGAAATAATAACCACACCCACATTATACCATTGCTGACTATCTGAAGAGCTATTATTAGAAAAACTCCTGCACATGTATTCACATACACACCACCACAAGTTTTCTTGCTAGTAAGGAGTTCCCGGAGAACTGGAACAAGTGTTTATGTTTAGGTTTCATTTTGTTTTTGGCAACTCACCAATCTCCATTTGTCTTTGAATTTTTGCTTTGGATTTCTCTCTGAAGGATATCTGTGCATTATAGTAGCCCCACATGACTTCAGCAAACCACCGAGTCAGGTGTGAGTACTGGTTGAAAGAGAGTCAACAGATTATTGAGCCAGAAATGAAAAAGGAATCAATCTAAATATTTTGTACTTAGATCATTATCAGTAGTGATTTTGTCAGGTGCAGGAAAGGTCACTGTGAAATAAACCCCTTTGGTTTTCCAGGATTTGTTTTTCCTGAGGGATGTTATTATATACAATAAAGAGTAGACCATTTTTCGGCATCTGGCTCATTACACAAAATAAAATAGTCACAAACCTGGTTCTTCTCTATACGCTGGATTACTGAGGCAGTTTTACCATTCTCCTCCACAGGCGAGTTTTTCTGCATTGCTGAAAGAAAGAACACGGGACAGATCCACCTTAAAACCTCAATTAAAACTCAAAGGCACCCCTCACCATATAAAGGAAAAAGATCTTGGCTAATTAAAGTTTGCTAATGAAAATTAGGATTCTTTTATCTATTCACAGTATCAGGTGAACTGTTTTGTTATCCTGTGACAGTGACGACCAGCAGTAGAGTGGAGTGCAGTAGCCTTCTGTTTCTATCCATTTGCAAGTGAAATCTTGCATTATGAGCTATACAGACCCAGAAATTGAGGTGTGATGTGCTGCAAAGTTCCTCCTCACTGTCACAAACACTGATGCTACACAGCTTCGTATCAATCAAAACTTTGTACATTGAAAGACTGATGTATGGAAAACTGTTGCATCTACACTAATTCTGTTATGTCACAAGATAAATCAATATGTATTTCACAGAAGCACACTGTGGAATGACTCAAAAAAAATTGTCTCCACTCACATTTTAACATGGCTTGGACCAAGCTGGCATTCTTCTTGATCTCACTGTTCAGCTGCTCCAGCTTGTCTTTATTTCCTAAGAATGACATAAGTTCACTTCACTTAATCACTTCAAAGAAGGAATAATTAACAATTAAAGATGACTATCATCTAAAGAATGGTTAGGTTTTGTATGTATTGTGCTTTTGTCTAAATAACGGATTTAACAAGTTCAATATTCTGATAATGGCAGCTTTGTCAGTGTCCTCTGTACTTCATATCCAGCCTTTTGCCTAGGCATGATATGGTTCTGTATAACATCTAGTTTATATTTTTCTATGCATTACATCTAATGAACCTTTTCCCATTTATTACTCTACAGAATACCTGTTACACTGTCTACAAACAGGCACAGGTGTGTTTGTCAAAGGCTGCTGAACCTTCATGTTTCTGTTGCTCTGTTTGTCTTTTCAGTGTTGTATGCCCTGAAGGAGGAGATAGATCTCTGAAAGAATCAGCACAATAGTAAAGGTATCAAATTTCTACTTTCCTATCGTTTGAAAACTTGTTATGGTCACGTGGGCAACTCTAATAAAATGTAAAGTTATTTGAACTATGACAGAGATGCTCTGTACTTACTCTTGTCTTGGTTTGGAGTGGAGAGGATGACGCCATGTCTCCCCTCCACCTCCTCTGCTTGACAAGAGATTTTTTCAATGAGGCCTTTCACCTCCCCCACCTACACACACATAAATACACTTACATTAGGCTATTTGGAAATTAGATGAGACAAAACACAAGCAAGCGATGGGAAGTTTACCGTTTTGAAAAATTCCTCCATGTTGATTTTGCTCTCTGTATCTGTCATATTATCCCGCTGCTGCTGTTAAAAAAAGAGGGAGTTCATTAGGCTTCGTACAAACGCCAGCTGTGGCTGCAGAGGAACAGTCCCTTACATTTTTAACAACATTAATATCGTCTATTCAAAATAAAAAATCAAACAAAAATACGCTGATGCTATAAGACACATCAGCTGAATGTTACAGCCATTTTCTTCTGCTCAGGCGACCGAGGTGAAATCTTTAACTCCCAAAACCTACAGTTGTTAAATACTTACTGCCATCTGCCCCACAACAAAAAGGAGAAGTAAGACAACCTCTAACGGATATTTCTGTTACTTTCGGTATTCACGATAAGAGTCGACATTTACCTGCTGTGTTTCCTGAGTGGGCTGGGCTGAGCGCACCTGTATGATAAAGAGCGCGCGCACGCAGGCGCGGTACCGAGAGAAAAAAAAAGAAAAAAAAACCCAACACGCTAGCAAACAAAGAGCCCATCCACCACCTGTGAGCTCAAGCTACAGGTACACGGAGCAGGTAAAACTGAAACACCTGTTCATTCTCTTAGAGATGGAGCGGGTGAGGGGTTTCCCTCGCCTGTCAAATGGCTGTCTGCGTTAAATGCAGCCTACTTAAAGCTTCATGTGATGTGTGTATGGTGTTACAGCATACCTGGGGGTGGCGCTATAAACTACGTTCATACATTGACCCCAGCTTAATTAAAAAAAATGACTTAGAGTCACATTTCTGTGTTAAAATTAGACAAGTTTGGTAGGTTTTAGCAGATTGTAATGCAACATGTACTATGTTGAATATTCATCCAACAAATGGGTCTTTAACATTGTAGACAGGACAAATTTAGACCAACTGGACTTTCACCCATCAGTAGGCCTATATCTGGTGGACATTAACCTGCATCGACAACTGATTTAATTTTACAAGAGCTATTTGATACACATAAATGTTTGGCCAAAGCACATTAGTAAAGCTGGGAAGACATAAACAGTAGCCATATATTTAAATTTGGCCCATGGGCTTACATGTCACAGTAAGAAAAGCACTGGTCTGAGTAATAAATTAAAGATGGCTTACTTCCATTGAGCTGTGTTGATTACAGGGTCCTACTTTTATGCATGCTTCCTTGCTAGGACACTTGAATAGTCATCGTTAGTGTTATCACTAACACCTGTGCTTCCACCAATGTGTATGATAGGACAAAATGGGCTTTATATTTGTGAGTAATATCACTGGAATTCTGGGCTCATTTTCAGTCTTAGTTGTTAAGGGGGAAATGTCCCTGAAAAACTAAACTAATTCAAAAACTTCATCAACCTCATTGTTTTGTTCTGTTTTTCACAAGCTCCCTTGTGTATTGGACATTTTTTACAAGTCTATTCATTAGCACATTGAATTAAAAATAGTTTTCTTACTCTAAACAGTATTTGTCACTCTTTTCCTTGTCCTAGGCTACAAGATTACTAACATTAGTACCAAACCAAGTTGCAGGACCTGCAAGATCTATCCATAGTCCTTACAACTCTGCTGTTGCCTCAGCAGTAAACTTCAGGGCTATAGGGTTCAGTTTGCACAGACGCAGATTAATAGCACCATGAATGCTGGCATGTTCTGACGTATGATGTTCTTGTAATTCATCGCAGGGAGTGTTTGTTCTGTATATTCAAATGTTCTTATGAAGCACATACATACTGATACACTTCAAATTAATATAATGCAAAGAGCTGTATTGTAATTTATGAAGTTGGCTTAAATACACAATATATTTTCATGGACTTTCATGCATAGCTCTCGTAAAAGCCTCCTCAGATATAATTATAAATGGTCTCAAATGGATCCCAAGTGTTGTTAAGAAATAAATTGCTCAAAGAGTGAGACATTTTCCAGAACCAATGCAAAGTCATTACATTGCACTAAAAGCCCACCTGCATAAAAAAAAAATCCATTGTATAGCCTACGGTAAAAATGAAAGGAAGCAGCTTCGTTCTCTATATGCTAAAACTAATGTCTCTACACTTCTGCGTCACATACACATTTGACAGACTCTTTATCACAGCAGGGTGGACACAGCTGCAAGTTGTAAAATGAATAGTAAGCATTGATAATAATAGTGACTATTGTTAATGCTTGGCCTATAACTCATTGGTTACCTTAAATAAATCTAACTTTTTGGTTTCAAAAATTGTATTATCACAGAAGCAAAAACCAAAAACACTCTTATGTATCAGTTTTGGAATTGACAGACGTGAATGGATCTGTTTCTGTAATAGTATCTGATCAACTTGCCTCGTGTCACTGTACACGGCCTGAGTCTTCCTCTGTCACTCCAGAGAGCTGGAAATGGGTCTGTGCTTGGACACAGGGGAGGATCACTGCATCTGCCACCTCAGACGAAATCAATAACAGATCCTTCTTTTCACATGAGTGGCACACACAGCGAAAAGCATCTGTGTCCAATCAGAAGTGTTGGTTTTCATAAATAATGCAGCGAGTGCTTGTGGGCTTCTCTGTTTCTTGGTGCACAGAATGTTTTCCATCATTTTACCAGGGACCACGAGTAAATCAGGCTTGAGTTATTATGCAATTTTTCAAGACAAATGCTACAGACTTGGTTCTGTTTCTTTTTACTTTGAATTTGAAGTGATTTTCAAAATGCCACAGTAGAATGTTAACTTAATGAATGCTGCACATTCTGTTTGTAATATCTCAGACCCAAGGCAGAAGGATCCTCACACTTATCAAGGTGGGGCAGGATGTTTGCTCACGAACTGGCAGACAATAATCTTGCTGTCAAACACATGTTCAGGCAGTCCTTCATTTCTTTGTCATGTGTATTATCCTAAAAATACAAAATTGATGTCATTTGAATATATGGAAATATGTCTCAAAACTTGTAGTAGAGTTGTTTCATTATTTTACAATGTTCCCATTTTCAAAAGCCGAAAAAAGCTTTCAACAATACAACTATGCAGGTTCGAAATTATTACTTGTAAACAAAATTATCTAAAGCCCCAGTTTAGTGTTTCTGTACCATTTAGGTTGCAGCAGTGCATGTACAATAGTTAATATCTGCTGTAGAAAATATGGAAATTCTGATACACTGCTTGACTCATATGTTTTACATCTTTCTAAGAGAAGGTCAGAGCACAACTGCTTTGTCTTTTGGACATTTTAGCGGGGTGAAGACTTGCCCTCACAGTGGCTTGAACATTCAACATAAAAAACAACCTTGAACTAACTGCACCTCTGTGCTTCCCTTAAGACTCCTCTTTAGTTTTATACATGTGTTATTCATTAAGAAGAGACCCACAAACATTCTTCTTTTCTGAGGCAACGTAACCTCTGGTGTATATCTCTGGACTTTAATATACTTTGATATGAATAAAATTTCACCTTATTTTGATTTTTATGTCATTTGATGCATCTCCATCTTCCTACCACTAGAGGTAGCTTCAACATTATAGTCGGATGATGGAAAGTTCATTTTCTCTTTTCTCTTTGGCCTTTTAAGTATGATAATCCATACCTGAATCAGCACTTCAGCGTAATTCAAGCAACTTAGAGCCAAGTTTTCTGAGAGATCCACATTTAATAATGAATAACCAATATCTACTTGACAACACAAATATTTTGTGCACTTTCAATAGATCAGAGAAAATAGAATCCACAGCATCCACTGGTAGAAAATCAGGAGGGGGTTTACTTCATGGTGTCTGACTCAGCAAAAGAAAACCATATAGCAATTTTGTAGAGTAACATATCGCTATGATGATGTAATAGTGATGCTGTGGAGCACAACACTTACAACAAAGTTATTTTACCCTTTATGAAAAAAGGTGTAGGAGGAACAAATGACATGAACAAAGGAGTCTCATAAGTGGATTTTATGTGATGGACCACTATACACATTTTCCTACAGTCCCTGGTCAGGCTACACCTGCAGTGCCTCGCATAGGTAATTCTGTTGTTCTTGGCCAGTGTCCTGTCCAGACAATAATGAGCTGCTAATTACTAATTAGCAGTCTGTCCAGTTCACACTAAAGCTAAAACAGATGTACCAGCCAGCTCTCTCTGCCAGCATTCTTGTCCCTCTACATTCAAGACAATATGGTTCCGTCGGATAACAGTGATGGAGCTTATGGATGTGGATGGAGTTGTAACATACCATTGTAATGCAGGGTTTGGTGGGACTCCTTCGCAGAGACAATGTCTTGTAGAATTAGCTCATTCAGCAGAGTGGTTGTGTACCAGCCGAGCAAACAGAGGAGGAATGAAGAGTCAGAGGAATGAAGCTAAAATCAAAAGGTACCATACTTTTATTAACCATAGCCAGCAGTGGCCCCAGAGGGAATTTAACTCTTAAACCTTGTAGTTCTGATGCCATGATCTACCAGTGGAGCAGTGCTGGTCCGCACTTTTTCATGTTAACAGTTTTCAATGAAAATCAATAATGAATGCTTGCTGGCAGGCTCAGCAGTGCTTAGCAGTGATTTCGCGGACGGGTACACCCCAGAGTGGGCAGGCAGGCAGCTGGGAAGCAATTTCACTACATCGCTGATGATGAGTCCCCAGCGAAGCAGCAGTAGGACACCAGTGGGGGAAGGTCCAGCTGTAGCATGTGTCGCATACCTCTCTGTGTAATCTTGTCAGAGCAGAACTGACTAGAATTAAAATACATGGATCAGGAATTACTGTCACCTGGCGTTATAATATTGTGAGTGTAATTTTGAATTATTTATGGGATAATAAATGTGTTAGTCAAGGTAGGCAGATTGTGACGTATGGAATAATTTCCAAGTCTTAACACCATCTTTCATACAGGATTTGAATCACATGCACACAGACACACTCTTCATTGTTTTACTATATTCATTCAATAACTCTAACTGTAACCATCACATCTGGATGTCAACCCCCAACCCTGACCCTAAACCTAATTCTTACCTTAAAACCAAGTCACCTCTCGACCAACCATTTAAACTTGTGGGGTCCAGCAATTCGGTCCCCTTAAAGCTATCGGCCCCCACAA